AGTTTATTTATTTTTGGGACAGAGAGAGACAGAGCATGAACGGGGGAGGGGCAGAGAGAGAGGGAGACACAGAATTGGAAACAGGCTCCAGGCTCTGAGCCATCAGCCCAGAGCCTGACGCGGGGCTCAAACTCACGGACCGCGAGATCGTGACCTGGCTGAAGTCGGACGCTTAACCGACTGCGCCACCCAGGCGCCCCAACTCTTTTTGTTTTTAATAAATGTGCATGGAATTTGAAGTTGCAAAATAGAGATTAATGTTCGTTGTCCGTGTCCAGCTTTTTTTTTTTTTTTTTAAAGCCTCCAGTCAGTGGACTTTGAAGCTGTGGCAATCACAGTGAAAGAGCTAGTTCGGTATGCCCTCAGTATAAGTCCAAACAACCATTCCTGGTTAATTATTCAGGCAGACATTTATTTTGGTAAGTGAGATGTATGGTTCCTTTGCATTTTGTTTTTGTAGCACTTTTAGAAGTGAAAATAAATACATATTTTTCCTAATAGTTATTAAACTGGTCTTGTTTTTGATGTCTATTCTTCCTAGATACATTGCTATACATTCATTTTCTGTATTGTGCCTTTGGTTCAGATACTTCGAATTTTTATGTTGACTTTTTTTTTAAGTTTATTTTGAGAGAGTGTGTGTGTGTGTGAGTGGGGAAGGGGCAGGGCAGAGAGAGAGGGGGCAAGAGAGAATTCACGCAGGCTCCACACTCAGTGCAGAGCCCAACACGGGGCTTGTTTCCACGAACCATGAGATGATGACCTGAACCAAAATAGTCGAATGCTCCACCGACTGAGCCACCTAGGTGCCCCTGATAATTGCCAATTTTAATGCTCATTTTCATCCTGACCCTCCGAAGAATTTGTTATCAAGATCTTAATATCTATGTTTAAAATAGATTTACTGATTCTAAACTACGTCAGAAAATTCAGGTATGTTTCTAGTATGGGCATTTGGGAAACAAATACCTCCAGTACTAAGTTTGACAAGAAATCTGTGCTAAATTTTTGGCTCATCAGTTTTAGAAAGCAAGGAATATATTACTTCTTTTAAAGTAGTTTTAAAAAATGTGGTTTTTCTGTGTTGTCCCAGATAAGTGTTATCCCTAGCCCTGTGGTTTGAATCTGCTTTTGTCAACTCATGAAGTAATCATACCCTGCTCTTCACAAAAGAGTCCATGTTTGTCTTTCCAGCTGTTATGTCTAACGTTAGGTCATTCTCTATTATTTTCTGCTTCAGCAACAAACCAGTATTCGGCAGCTCTTCACTATTACCTACAGGCAGGAGCCGTGTGTTCTGATTTCTTCAATAAGGCTGTGCCTCCTGATGTTTATACAGACCAGGTAAGTTGTCTCGTGGGCTCTCTTTCTTGTCTACCTTTACATGTTCCTTTTTCCCAGGCCGCTTTTGGGTGAGCTGATTCATTTCCATATATGTGGTAAATTGAATGCTCTAGACCTGATTGCTCTCCATATTTCCAGTGCCCATAGATCATTGCTGCTTTGATTTCTCAAAACACCTAAAACTCAACCTGTCCAAAACTGATTTCAGCATTTTACTTTACAGTCTCCCTCCTGATGCCCTTTTCTCACATACATGAAAACACACACACACACACACACACACACGCCAAAATACCAAACGCCTTGTTCAGCCATTTAAGTTGACCAAGCCCAAATCCTCAGTATCCTCTTTTCTTTATTGATGGCTCCCACTGAAATCCATTCAGCCTTTAAGACATAGTGATTTTATCTCCTAAATCTCAAATTTATTTCATTTTCTTTTATACGTGTCGCTCTTTCCTGTTTTATGCCATCAATATCAGAATCTATTAAATGGTAGATTATAATACGTGGCTTTTAAATTAGATCTTAAATATTTTAGTAATGTGTTATTTTTAATTAAAAATTCTATTTTTCAGCGCATTTTTAGATTCACAGCAAAATTGAGCAAAAAGCGGAGTTTTCTATACCTGCTGTTCCCACATACGCACAATTTTCGCCACTGTTGCCATTCCACATCAGAGCAGTACATTGGTTACAACTGGTGTTAACTAGTTTTTGAAAATAATGAGGATTTGTTTTTGTAGGTAATAAAACGAATGATAAAATGCTGTTCTTTGCTGAATTGCCACACACAGGTTAGTTTATGATATGTTGGTTTATTTTCATGTATATTGGAATTTGCAGTAAATATAAAGCATTGGACTGGGAAATCGCCTTTATTTTCTTTACCATAATTGCTTAAGTTTACGGTATTTAAGAATTTGGCATATTAAATTTTTTTTTTTTTTAGTTTTTTAATTTATTTTGAGAGAGAAGCAGTGTGAGTAGGGGAGGGGCAGAGAGAATCCCAAGCCGCCTCCACACTGTCAGCCCAGAGCCCAGTGTGGGGCTCAAATTTATGAAACCATGAGATCATGACCAGAGAGCCAAAACCAAGAGTCGGATGCTTAACCAACAGAGCCACCCAGGCACCCCTTAATTTTTTTTCTAGGAAATTTTAACTAAAATGAAAGTATGAATTAGAAAATATTGGTCTTAGAACCTTCTAAATGGAAAAGAAGCATTTTTAAGGTGTGTGGGTTTTTTTTTTTAATATTTAAGAGTCGATATGCATGTGAGTCATTAGGGAAATACAGATCAGCACCACATGAGGTACCACTTCACACTTGATGGAATGGCTGTAATTGAAAGACAGGCGCCTTGGTGGCTCAGTCAGTTAAGTATCCAACTCTTGATCTCAGCTCACGTCATGATATCATGGCTCGTGGGTTCAAGCCCCATGTCGCGCTCTGTGCTGATGGCACAGAGCCGGCTTGGGATTCTGTCTCTCCCTCTGCCCCTCCCCCACTCGTGCAGCCATGCTCTCTCTCTCTCTGAAGATAAACTTTAAAAAAATAGTAACAGTATTGGTGAAGGTGTGGAGAAATTGTAACCTTCATACGTTGCTGGTAGGAATATAAAATGGCATGACCTGCCAAACAATTTGGCAGTTCCTCAAAAATTTAAGCATAAAATTACCATGTGACATAGACCTAACAGTTCCATCCCTAGGTTTGTAACCAAGAAAATTGAAAACATGTCCACAGAAAAATTTGCACACAAATGTTCACAGTAGTGTTACTCATCTTAGCCAAAAAGTTGAAATAACCCAGATGTCCATCAGTTGAGGAATGGATAAATAAAATTTGGTAGATCCTGTGGTGGAATATTATTTAGCCAGAGAAACAAATGAAGTGCCGATACATGCTACAACAGGGGTGAATCTTGGAAGTATTAGGTTGAGTGGAAAAAAGCCAGATACACATGGCCTTGTTATTATGATTTCATTCATATGAAATGTCCAGAATAGGCAAATCTATAATCAGAATGTAGATTAGCAGTTGCCAGAGACTGAGGGTGGAGAAATGGACTAGCTGTGACAGGTCTGATTGCAGGTTCTGTATGTCCTTGAAAGGCATTATGTAATTTTTGAATGGGCTTTTAAAATGAACAAAGCTCTAAAAATTTGTGATTTAGATCATTGATTTAAAAATTGGGCAGACAGGGGCACCTGGGTAGCTCAGTCGGTTAAGCATCTGACTTTGACTCAGGTCGTGATCTCCTGGTGTGTGAGTTCAAGCCCTGTGTCGGGCTCTGTGCTGACAGCTCAGAGCGTGAAGCCTGCTTCAGATTGTCTCCCTTTCTCTTTGCTTCTTCCCCACTTGCAGTCTGTCTCTTTCCTCTCAAAAATAAACATTAAAAAAATTTTTTTTAAATGGGCAGATGTGTATGTAAAGGTTTTTGCAATTAAAATTAGATGGGATCCATAATTATGAGCTGATCTACTCAGTATGATCTGCAAGCCCTCTTTAGTGTGTTCTTGATGTAAGAATCATTAAAAATTGCCCTTCCCAGGGGCACTCAGTCAAAAGAGCCAAACCCATGCTGGGTGTACAGATTACTAAGAGAATTAAATAAACTTAAAAAAAAAAAAAAAAAAAAATTTAGGCCTCCCAAACCAGGAGAATCCTTGTTGACACTGGTTACGTTAAATCATTTTCTTTGTTTATGTAGGTGGCAATTTTATGTCAGTTCCTCAGAGAAATTGACTACAAAACAGCCTTTAAATCATTGCAGGAACAAAACAGGTATGAATGATTTTTAAAATAAAATGAAGTTGAAATTTTTCTGCTTAATAAAGAGGAAGTAACTAAAATCTGTTTTTCAGTCATGATGCTATGGACTCCTACTATGACTACATATGGGACGTTACCATTTTGGAATACTTGACCTGTATCCTTCTATCAACATATGTGATATTAGGACAGTTCACTTCTGTAAATTAAAAAAGTACTGTAAATAAACAGTTGAGATTTTGTCATGGTATTTAATAATATCAGATTTATTCTTAACTGATTTGTTTAGATCTTCATCATAAAAGAGGAGAAACTGATAAAAGACAAATTGCGGTAAGTTATTTTATGCCTTTCTTCAGTAATACACTTAATTTCCCTGATTGTAAACCGTCGTTAAGATTTGGACCCCTCACCCCGCCAGAAAAGATTTTGTATGCCTAGTTACTGTCAGATTTTGGTTATCAGTGTTTACTTTTTAACAGACCTATTTTCATCTAGAGCTTTATCTCTCTTTTATTTTAAAATATTGGATCACGTCCTTTCTCTGCTCCAAACTTTTGAATGGTTTCCTATCTCCTATAATCTCAAAGTCTTTATAATAGCTTACAAGCCTGCATATGACCTCTAGCTGTCCATCCGACTTTCTTGCTAACTTTTGCTACGCTATTAGCCCTACTGTTCTTTGAACATGCTGAAAATATTCATCACCTGTAGGGCCTTTGAAATTTTATTTTCCATAAACATTCTTTAACTTCCCTCAGGTCTCCTGGAATGTCATCTTAGTCTTCCACTCAGGTCATGATCTGGCAGTTCATGGGTTTGAGCCCCACGTTGGGCTCTGGCTGATAGCTCAGAGTCTGGAACCTGCTTCAGATTCTATGTCTCCCTCTCTCTCTCTGTCCCTCCCCTGCTCATGCTCGCTCGCTCTCTCAAAAATAAACGTTTAAAAAGAAGAAATTAAAAAAAAAAAAGTCATCTTAGTGATCATTTCCTGACCATCTTATAAAATAGCCATGTCTTTCTCTACCCTTTTTTCTCCAACACTTTTTCTCATTTCCCTTTTGAAAATGTCCTCCATTATACTTCTGATTTACATCTGACATACTATATATTTGCTAATTTATTGGCTGTTTCCCCACCAAAAACTTGGCTTTGTCATAGCTGATACCTAGAATGGTGCCTGGCACATTATAGATGCTCAGTAGTTACTGATAGATGAGTTATCTGTTTTTAAGTTTGACTTATAAGCCAAAGTATTCTAAAATTTTTTAGTGTTTATTTAGAGAGAGAGGGAGAGAAAGAATACCAAGCAGGCTCCACACTGTCAGTGCAGAGCCCAACACGGGGCTCAAACTCACAAACCGTAAGATCATGACCTGAGCCAAAATCAAGAGTCAGGTGCTTAACGGACCGAGCCCCAGGCGCCCCAAAGCATTATAAATTTATGGCCATTTTTACTTGACTAATACTTGCTGCATCAGTATCACCACAGATAATTTTTCTTGTTGCTTTCGCTCATACTAACAAAATTATGTGCTATTGTATATCTTTTAAAGCTTTCTGCATGGACTAAGTTGTATGGGCATTATTTGCAGGGGGAAAATAATAGTATGTTTTTTAAAAATCAAAAGGAAAAATGGGGCACCTGGGTGGCGCAGTCGGTTAAGCTTCCGACTTCAGCCAGGTCACGATCTCGCGGTCCGTGAGTTCGAGCCCCGCGTCAGGCTCTGGGCTGATGGCTCAGAGCCTGGAGCCTGTTTCCAATTCTGAGTCTCCCTCTCTCTCTGACCCTCTCCCGTTCATGCTCTGTCTCTCTGTCCCAAAAATAAATAAACGTTGGAAAAAAAAAAAAAACTTTAAAAAAAATCAAAAGGAAAAAGAACATGAAGCCAGCCTACTTGATTGGAGGCAAGTCATTCTCCATTGCAAGCTTATCCACAGCTGGTAGGCATACTGAAGTTGTCATGTCTCCAGTGCTATTTCCAGACCGTCTCTACTTGTATCATTTTAAGCCCTTTCTCCTTAAAAGTTTACACTTGTCTCTTTAGTAGGTCATCTAACCAAGCTACTGGTTATTCCTCCACATGCATCAAAATATACGTGATTATTTACCCAACATCCTTATCCATAGCTTTCCAAGTTTGATTGTTACCTTTACTTAGCATCAGCCACCCACACCCGTAGCCGTGTCTTATTGTCAGAATTGTTCTACCTAAGATCCATCTGCCGGTAATTTATCCTTCTCTTACTTCCTGGCTCCCATGTTCCTCATGATCAGTGAGATATTCAGGTTTGTGACCAATTTTTCCCCAGTCTGTCAGCCCCTTCCCAGCTTCCCTTCCTTCCCTACTCACTTTGAATATGGCAAATACCTATGTGTACACTATCAAGAGGTGCTGATTCCGCTGGTCTGAGATAAGGTCTTGGAATCCAAATTGTAAGTTTCCCAGCTAGTTCTGATTATGACAAACCAGGTTTGGGAACCCCTGCTTATCTATGACTGACTGTCAGAACTACCCTTTGGTCAGTATTTTCAGCATTTTGGGGCACCTGGCTGGCTCAGTTGGAGTGTGCTAATCTTGGGGTTGTGGGTTCGAGCCCCACATTGGGTGTAGAGATTACTTAAATAAGTAAAATGTGAAAAAATGTATATTCAGCATCTTTGCATTTTTGTCTTTCACTTCACCTGGAAAAATTCCAACCCTGAATCGGTTCAAAGATTTTGCTTTTTTCCCCGAGCCACTGAGTTTGGTTGGAAAAAATCCTGCCACCATATAAACTGTGGTGCCATTACCAAACCATGGTCTCAGAGCTTAGCTGGCTCCTTATCTCTTTTGTGTTATGGGCCAGGAGTCAGTGGTCTGCTTTCTTTTCAGGGACTATTTTAGACATTCCCTGTGTTCAGCCCCCTCTCCTTTCTCCCTGTTCCGTACTTCCTTGCCTGTGTTTGGAATAGACCAGAAAAGACTATCAGCTCCTGTCCACATGGAGTTGTAGTTTTGGGAATTGTGGCCTTATAAGTACCAGCTTCAAATCCCTCCTTAAAATTCTACCTCTATGCTCATTGTTAAGTGTACTCTTAGTAGGAGGTTATGTTACTCTTTTTTTTTTTTTTTAAGGAAATTTATTAAGGGAGGAAAGGGTATTTGGTTTTTTAAGTTACTTAACTTAGTTAACATGCAATGTAATACTATCTTCAGGTGTATAATGAACTCATCACAGTAAGTGCACTCCTTAATCCCCATCTTTTTTACTCATCCCTCACCCACCTTTCCTCTGGTAGCCATCAGTTTGCTATAATTAAGAGTCTGTGTCTTGGTTTGCCTCTCTCTCTTTTCTCTATTTTCTCTCTGATCATTTGTTTTGTATCTTAAATTTCACATGTGAGGTATTTCGTATGGTATTTATCTTTGATTTATTTCACTAAGCATATTACTCTCTAGCTGCATCCACATCATTGCAAATGGCAAGATTTCATTCTTTATGGCTAATATTCCATGGTATTATACATATATATATATATACACACACACACACATATGTATATGTATATACACATACATACATACACACACACATATGCACACATACTACATCATCTTTATCCATTCATCAGTCAATGGACACTGGGCTGTTTCCTTAGTTGGGCTATTATAGATAATGCTGCTATAAACATAAACATAGAGGTACATATATTTTTTTTTCCCCAAATTTTTATTTGAATTCTAATTAACATACATGCAATATTGGTTTCAGGGGTAGAATTCAGTGATTCATCACTTACATACAACACCCAGCAAGGCTCTCCTTAATACCCATCACCCATCTAGCCCACCCCTCACCCACCTCCCTCCAGCAAACCTTAGTTTGTTCTCTACTGTTAAGAGTCTGTTATGGTTGGGGTGCCTGGATGGCTTAGTTGGTTAAGCACCTGCCTCTTGATTTTGGCTCAAGTCATGATCTTGCAGCTCATGAGATTGAGCCCTACATCAGACTCTGTGCGGACAGTGTTGAGCCTGCTTGGGATTCTCTCTTTTGCTCTCTCTGCCCCTCCCCCCCCCAAAATAAACTTAAAAAAAAGAGAGTCTTTTATGGTTTCCCTCTTTTTTTTCTTCCCCTCCCTTATATTCATCTGTTTTTTTTTAATTCCACATATGAGTGAAATCCTGTTGCATTTTTCCTCTGATTTCACTTAGCATAATACAGTTTAGCTCTGTGTCGTTGCAAATAGCAAGATTTCATTCTTTTTGATGGCTGATTATTCCATTGTATGTATATATGTATATCTGTGTGTGTATGTATATATATGTGTGTGTGTGTGTGTGCGCGCGTGCACGTGTATACACACACACACACACACAGACACCATTATCTTTGTCTATTAGTCAGTGGACATTTGGGCCCTCTCCATAGTTTGACTATTGTTGGTAATGTTACTCCTTGATGAAGGCAAGTTTTTAGGCTTTTGATTCAACCTGTTCAGTGACCTTTAATTAGTTGTCTCCTCTCCTGTATTGTCAGCCTCTCCCATAGCTTATAAACTATTTCATCCTTGACTGTACCTCTACTTCCCTTGTCCCTTCTCTGCCCAGTTCTGTGACGCTCTCGACCCATTGTAATTTGACTTCTGCTCTTATCACTCTTAACCGTTCTCTCAAGGATCACTAATATCAAAGTCAGTGGATGCTTTTCAGTCTTTATCGTGTTGACATCTCACTTCTTAAAATTCTTTATTCCTTTGGCTTCCCTGACATTATTTTCTCTCAATTTTTTTCACTGACTCTTCTGCCTTTTCTTCTGTCCATTTCTTCATGAGCATCTCCCTCTGTCTCCCCCTTAATCTTGGTTTCCTCAGAGTTTAGTCCTTTGGTTATTTTCAGATTGCCCTACATTCTCCCTAGGTAGTCTCATCCACTCATGGGCTTAACTACTACCCACAGTGTACATTATTTCTCTCAAATCTCTGGCTCCAATTCCAACTTCTGTCTTATACTTTGGATTTTTATAGCCAGTCATCTTTGTGTTATTTTATCTGTTGGAAATCATTCTTTAATCATATACCCTATGACTAGGTTTTTCCACATGCACTCCTTCATGTTGAAATGGTGTTGACAGTTAGTCTTTGTTGTTTAAAGAAGTTATAATAGGGTTTCTTTTTAGAAAATACATGATTTATTTGAGAGAGAATCCCCATAGGCTCCACATTGTCAGTGTGGAGCCCCAGGTGGGGTTGGAACTCCTGAACTGTGAGATAATGACCTGACACCAGGAGTTGGATACTTAACCATCTGAGCAATCCAGGCACCGCTGGGCTTCTTTCTTTTTTTATCTAAAGATGTAGATTGCCTTTTAATCTAAAGGTAATTCTAAGATCCTAAAATACATTCTAACAAAATGCTCTTTGGCAGATTATACTATAGATTTTTAGTAGGCTGAGGTATTCTAGTTATGAAAGAAATGAACCACTTTATATAGGCTGTCATAATGCTGAGCAACTACCTATTTTTGCATATTAAACAAGTAAAGCCTTTCCTGAAACATGAATTTTGATTTTTCAAACTATTTTGTAGGAGCCTCAATTAACTGTAAAAATGTGTTGGATGATATGTAGAGCTTATTTGCTGGTATTTTTAGTCAAATAAACTTACATGATTTAATGTTCCTATAGATAGTCTTTTCTTATCCACAGAGGGGATATGTTGTAAGACCCAGGTGGATGCCTGAAACCATAGGGAGTACTGAACCCTATATATAGATATTTATGTAATTATTAAAAATATTGCTACAAATGTTACAAATATTATTACAAATATCAAAATATTGTACTCCCTCTTCTTGGGATGATGTGAGGTGAATGATGTAGGCATTGTGGTAAAGCATTAGATTACTTTTGACTCTGAGACCTGTTAGGAGGAGGATCATCTTCTGGACCATGCTGGACTTCAGATAAGGGGGAACCTACTGTAATTCCATGAACAGTGGCTAGGCATTTGATCTTTAAGAGTGGCTCTGAGTCTGTCTTTGTTAATTTCTTCTACACCTCCCATCATTTACAGTTGACTTTGTTAGCATGTAGGTAGTTTTGTATTATGTATACTAGCAAGACTTTGTTTTTGACCACAGCTGTAATAACATCACCTTTCTGTTTTGGAAGATCAAAGCCATCGGTCAGACAGAATTGAACGCAAGCAACCCAGAAGAAGTGTTACAGCTGGCAGCGCAGAGAAGGAAAAAAAAGTTTCTCCAAGCAATGGCAAAACTTTACTTTTAAACAGTTAGTTAAAAATTTTTAATTTTTATTTTTTAAACAATGGGCTAAAAATAAACAGTATTAGATTATATAATACATATTTACACATTTAGTGGTGTTTTCTTTTCAGACAAAATACTGAAACAATTTAAAAACAAAAACTGTACAGAAGACTTCATACCGTAACCACAGCTTAAATTTATAATTTCTTCAAAAGGAGATTCATGTATCCAGTAAGAGAATAAACTAGCAATCTGGTATGCTTTGTTTTCTAACTAGACCCACTTTCGAGGTTGAAATTTCATTAAAAAACTAAAATATGTAGAAGTAGCTAGTCTATACACAGCAAGTTCTTATGTCAGGGTTTTGTTTTGTTTTTAATAAATAATCTAGGAGTCAGTATACATTTACTACTTTTTCTGCCTTATGAAAACAGAAGTTTAGGCCAAGTGTTAAGCTTTATCACTTTGTCCTTAACTCAGTGTAGGAATTTAAAAACGACCTTAACAGTTTTGCAAACATAAATAAAGTCTTAGTCACACTAAATTAAGAAAAAATCCTTAGGGATGTCTTGGAGTTAGTAAAGTGACTTTCTCATATAAATAGGTTGAAAGCGTACTTTTTCACTTAAATTGTGATGTACAAAAAGTCATTATAAAGCAACCTCTGTGTCAAAGCCCAAAGTAGGAGCTACACATTTATCTTGTTTAAAATTTCTTTGGTATTCCCCCTGTTTAGACCACAGTTTAAACACCATGTTCATTTAAGCCTTACTGGTTAAAAAATGTTATGGCAAGGCAGATGAAATAAAAAACAGATTAAAGTTCACCTTTTGTAAAAATTCAAGTTTTATAATAGCTTGCTACAGCAGCTGTAGATAAATTAGTCACCTTATTACAAAACTAAATCTTTGTAAACAAGTTTAAATTTTCAAAAACCAAATTGCACTAGTCAAGACAATGTGAATTTTGAGAATCTAAAAACTAGATTCAAAGTATTGTATTAATGTCGCCTTTAAGGTGGCGCACTTACCTAGTCTAAAACTCCAATGATAAAATTCTTAGTTTATCACAATAACACAGTAATACTGGATCAAAAAAAAAAAAATTATGGCATAAAGCGTGGCTATCTTCTATCCAGTCACCTTGGGAATGAAGTCATCTTTGTAAACAAGTCCCGCTGTTTAAACAGCTAATGTAGGAATTTCTTCCTTAATGCCAATTTTAAGTGGTTTTTTAAAATCGAAGAATGGCAGTGAAACTTCTGAATTGGCTAGGACAGTCATAGCACTATTTTCCTGAAAACTTTAGTAGTTCAGTTCTAGGAAATTCTACCAATGGTCAATTCCAACTTGTTTGCTTAGTTAACCTTCGTTAGTATTTTCCTGGTGGTTTTTCAGTGCTCTTCGGTGGTGTCATAATGCCTCCACTGCACACTGGTGACAACTGTCCCCCCTTTTGAAAGGTGTTTACATAATTTACTTCATCCTATACATGTGAAGAAATCATGCAGAGATTAACAGGTAAGGTAAAGCACCGATAGAGTAAAACAAAGTCAAACCAGACTTGGATATTAATTTGAGACTACTTAGACCTCATGAAATGGTCTCTTTATGTCTTTGCAATCATGACTAGTCCTATTCTAGAGGTGCAACAGTTTGAACTGAATATAGCTGTATTTTTAAAAAACTCTTACTTGGACTACTGGCATTAATCTTGAGACATTCCACAAATTTTGCTGTGACATCAGTGTGCCCATTAGAGCTTTCTATCTTGTATCACTGCCCTAAAGTATTTCTAGTATCCTTATTAGTTTCAGTAACTTACTAGATATAAAATGAAAAGCCCCACAAGAAACATACCAGCATAGCCAGATAATTTGTATGTGTCTGGATATTGTGTCTGTCTTCCATAGAAATCTTCTTAAAAATCTTCAGCTTCACAGGACTAGTACTTTTTACTACACTGGCAAAAGGCACCATCCAGTCTACACATTCAGAAATGTTGTCCCATTCCAAACCTAGATAGAGGAAAGTTAGGAAAATGTGAAGGTTACAAGAGAAATTGTCAACTAATCTGCTTTAACTTCTTAGAATTGGATTTTGGCCTTCTAATAACTGTTCATAAGGTGACTTATTTTGTGGGAGAAAAAGACTTAGAGCTTCTTAACCCGTACCTTCTACATATGAAACTGAAGTTGTCAAAACCCAAAGAACTCTTAAAGCAGGGCAATGACCATGCTGACTGACTTCAAACGGATTTAAATTCCATTTGACCTTATTTTTTGTTTATGGATATATACTGAAGATGAGGAAGGACTTCTAACAAAAGAGAAGGTAATTGCTAACCTAATGTTTTCCATTAAAATTTTAAACTGTTTAATAGGAAGCTAAAGTTGATAAATTAATAGTCCCTTGTGAACATGTAAGAAGATAACAAAATATAGTGCCTTACCTGAGGCTTTCTTAACCACTTCAATAGAGGTAAAATGGCACAAGGCAGCGGCAGCCAGGATTCTGTACTGGAATTCTAATGAGTCGATGGCTAGAATACACAGATCTAAAAGCTAGCAAAGGAAAAAGCAAACGTACATGTAATTAGGAGGAGAAAGGATGAGTAATCAATGTTGCTACTAAAGATCAGTCAGCTATAATTTTAGAGTACTTATGATGTGGACCCATGTGCCAAGAATTGCTAAAACTACAGGGATCCAAAGATAATTTCCTTCAGAGTGGTGGCTCAAGCCAGGAAGTGAATAGACAAGGATTGTTATGATGCAGTGTGGTGTGTAGCAGTAGGAAAGGCACCTAATCCAGAGTGGGGAAGACCTGTGCTGCTTAAATCTTAAAAGACGCAGTAGCCACGAAGATTGGGAGGTAAAGAGTATTCTAGGTGTAGGAAATAGCATTTGCAAAGATAAATGAAATATTACTTTCCCTTGGAACCTCTAGTTCAGAACAAAGGAATTCCTTTCATTCATTCCTTATTTTAAAAGGGAGAGGGGCGTAGGTAGAGAGGCACAGATTAGATCATAGATTAGCCTAGATTAGATCATAAAGGGTCTGTAAATTTAGTTCTGATTACTGAAATTATTGGAACATTTTAAATCAGGAAAGATACATTTTAAGAATGATCCTTTAGAAACTTCTTTCTGTGTATCTGCTTTACTGTAATCTAAACAGTGAGATTATTTATTTATTTTTTTTTTTTTAATTTTTTTTTTTTCAACGTTTATTTATTTTTGGGACAGAGAGAGACAGAGCATGAACGGGGGAGGGGCAGAGAGAGAGGGAAACACAGAATCGGAAACAGGCTCCAGGCTCTGAGCCATCAGCCCAGAGCCTGACGCGGGGCTCGAACTCACGGAGCGCGAGATCGTGACCTGGCTGAAGTCGGACGCTTAACCGACTGCGCCACCCAGGTGCCCCAACAGTGAGATTATTTAAAAGGCAATATAATCTAGGTAATAAAGAGTATAGTAGAATTGTGTAAAAGGGCTAGATTTCAGAGGCTAAGGTAATACTGTCCATGGAATAAACAAATTATGTTTGCTCCCATTGTCCAGAAGGTAGAAACATGAGAAGAGTTAGAAATAAACAATGTAGAAATAGTAATTATTAGCTTATCAGATTTTTGTTCTCTATCAAAAAGGCATAGCTGCCTGTGATAATTTAGGATGCTGGCAATTCTGACAAAAAATAAGCCCTCATTAGAAAGTTTTACAAAATGAACCAATTCTAATTCAGTTTTAGTTCATAAGGTGTTTACTAGATTTAAAATACAAATTAAATTTCAACCTAGGTTATTTAAAATCCAACCCAAAATACCACAGTTCCTTCAGTTCCTTATGTAAGCTTTTCATATTCTACATAGAATTCGAACATAGATTTTTCTCACTTATATATGGTAGTACAGCAACCTTTAAGATACATACGAGAAGTAAGCAGGAAAGAACATTTGCTATGTTGGCCTACAAAAGCATAATTTGAAATTAGATTTTTTAAAAATGTTATAACTTATCTTAATTCTAATGTATAAAATCGGTACAGTGTGTTCAAATATGAGGATAAGATTATCATACAGAATAATTTCCTATCATACTAAAGACAGCTGGCTGCTAAATACCAAAAAGAGGTATTTAACACTCTAAACCCCTAAAGAATGAAGAGTACTCATAATACATTTAAACTGAAAGTTTAAAGTCTGTTCTCTAGAATTATTAAGCAATGTAAATACTGGGAACAGAATTTTATGCATCAGTTTTGTTCTAGTCAATTAAGGAGTGAATTTAATTCATTACGATTTTTGTTGTATAATTTATTTAAGACTGTAAATGCACTAAACAGTTACAATAAACATTAGCATATCTGCAATGAAAATACCTGAGCTATTTGAATGAACTTTTCCTGAGAATACTGAGGTAGAAGAACTTTAGGAGCATCTTTAAGAGCATCAACTTGGAGGAAGAGATTTAGCCAGGAGATGACTGTTACAGGACAGAGTTCCCATTTTAAAGCCTGTTAATAGTATGAAAACACCTGTTAGTAAATGTAAGTATATATACACTGTAATATATAGCTAGTTTACTAATAGGCCTTTAAAAGCTTCTGCTTTAGGCCTATTTCTTCCTAGGAATTTTATTCTGACCCTTATTTTATTAAAAGTACTTGTAGATACTTCAAAATGTAAAGCTGCTTGTATTTTACAGTTTATTAATCTAGTTCCCTTTTTATTCTCTATCTTAACTTAATAAGCTCATTGAGCCTAATATTCATTCCTTCTTTTCTCATTTCTTGCAGCCCCTGGTCTTCCAAATCTATTCTCTACTTTATTGAAACTGCCATTTTAAAATTATATTCAGTGAACAAAACGAATTCCATTCAGATCTTCCAAAAACTGATCTAGACTTTTTCTTTCCATGATCTTTAATGGCTCCGGTCAAAATGTAAAAGTTCAAAACAAAAAAGGCAAATCTTAATGTATCATATCTTTTTCTTCATGAAGCTTTGGGACTTTACCATTTACAAGCAGTCTAAAGTAATTAGGGGAGAACAAGAGAGTATTGCAGAGAGTTCCGTCTTCTCTTTACATCCTCATACTG